TGGGCATCAAATCCAATCCTCAAAACATGTCGTTAAAGAATATCCCAGGAGGACTAACAGAACTCAACAAAGTTACCGCGGATACAATTAAATGGCTTGAAGACTTAGATATTAAAATATAGCCCTCCTATTATTCAACAGCCTATGTTACTTATTTAGAGTTATATTTTATAGTATTAATCTGTTATAAATGTTGAGTCTTGTAATTTTCATATCTTTTAATTAATTCATAATTTATAATTTATATAGTTTATATTGTATTGGTTATGTGTGTTAAAGATGTCATACGAAGAAATAATTTTAAAAAAATGGTATATAGTATATACACTAATAGTTTAGTGTATTTGAGGAGGTGTAGGGTGTGCTGTTTCAAAACAATCTTTTTGACGTTTTGGCTTTACGCCGAAAATCCGTTACGACACCTCCATTTTCACCGGTGTGGAAAGTGAATACACCAAATCAATACTTTTTCAAAACGTACAGTATGTACACTACACTATTTTAAAACAAACACTTTGGTGTACACTTTTTATTAAAACGAACAAATCTACAGAATGGTGATTTGATTTGTAGGGGATGGGGATGGTGATAAGAAAAATCGTACACTTTTGGATAGCTGATCAGGGATTATTGATAAGGTAATCAGCTGATAAGAGAAAATTCATAATCCCGGAAAACTGAGAGAGGCAAAAAATCAACTGACCAACGGTTTTAAGTACTTCAACTCTATAATTATGCAGAATCATTCAATTTTGACATTATCACTATAAGATATGATTCGCGTATCACATTAATATAATATAATAGTTTTTAGGAAAAATAATTTTACTTGAAGCTTTCTAGTAAGCGAATGGCCATTGGGCAAGCATATTTTACGCTAAACATATTCCCATAACCTTCTTCAAAGTAGTATATGAGATCTCTCATGTATTCTAAAACCTACAAGCAATTCGAAGATAAAGTTATTATGGTTCGTAGCATTGTATAAGCCTTTAAACTACATTGCATACTCTGAGATCTTCTTTGCAGAATACACGACACAAAGGTGGTATTGATTGTTCATCGGAAGACCTTTCTATGGCACACGTGTTGTACAAAGAAGACACCAATTTATAATCTGAAGCATAATAATGTTACAATAAGATTTCACTTCCTTATACTTTATTTTTATAACATCAAGCCTACCTCTAAAAAAACCTTTGGGTTCACGTTCAATTTTTTTTAAAATCTTTTGACTAACATTCTTTATATGATCGCTGTGCAAGAAGTTTATACTTTCTCTATTATACATCTTTTTCACAGATCGATCATTTTCCATGCAATAATCAATCTAAATCAAATAATGAAACTTAAAAGCAAAGACTTACGATAACACTGAGTGTATTTCTACTTGCCATTAGTATTTTGTCGTCTTTGTCACACACCGGAACAGTATCAATATCAATGTTTTGATCATTGAGAATAGTTTTTAAAAAAAGTCCTCCAGTTTCTTTACAATGTTGCTCCGGCCTTGTCAATGCCTAGAAGTATATTTTTGTATAAGTGTAGAAAGTAATTGTTATCGTATTATCTTATGTTAAATGATGAATCGTACGTAATAGTTTTCAATCTCGTATTTCTCGGTAAATATATTTGAAAAAGCATTTCGAATCCGCTGGGCTAATTCTATGATTTCAACGCGGCCTTTTTCTACTAATCCTTCTGCGTTTGTTGTAATACTTTTTGGTTCCCAATCATTAATTGCTTTAATATCTGATGGACACATTTCAGAATTTCCAGAAATTTTTAATTTATCACTCATCTGATACCGATCATAATGTTCCACCTTATTATCGTCCCAAGACGGATGATGCGTGCCATGTTTAGCTACCATGAAAAGCTGAATTGGAGTATCGTCTATATATTACAAAAAAAAAAAAATAGTTAATTTCAGTTATGTCCGTGCCATATTTGAAAGTAATAACCCATGTTGGTTATGACTTATGACTTATAATATTTAATATTATCAACTATATAAAGTTTTAAATGTTATCGTTGGTAAAATAAAAAGCAGTAATAATTCAAAATAATAAAACATACTTGGTAAATTTATGCTCTTGGAAGAAACATAATTGTATGAGGTTAACGTGGAAAAGTACCATTCAGGATCTGCTTCTTCATAGTTCGGACAACAAAGGATTTTCCAACCACAGTTAAAGATAATATTTATTATTATCGACCACTGCAATATACATACCAGCTTCAACATCGTATCGCTTGCCTGAACAGTGATCACTGACACAAAATATACCTATTTCTTAAAACTATTATGATGGTACAATCCAACGGCAAATAGGTATAGCAAATATAAGAAAAAAACAATACATACATACATTTCTCTCAACAACATTCAAAGCAACTCTCGAATTGACATCATATTTGTTTGAACACATGCATAACATACTTTTATTTTTTAACTTGAATTCGATGCGCAGCCGAATAGGTATTGTTTTTAAAAAAATATTTTTTTTCGTATAACTACGTATGGAAATGCAAGTACAATACGAATTATAACTATTATAATAATAATAACCTGGCATATTTATATCTAAATATGTGGTGGCGGGGGGTAAATATTGGCCATTTTGTAGGGCCGAACGTATTGGGAATACACTTTATAGGCGCTGATGTTTATGTCTTGCGAGATAATTTAAAAAATAGGTCTTGGGCACTTAAAATGTCTACACCGGGTCTTAAATAATTTTACTAGGTATTTTAATTTATATATTCATTTAAAACCTTAAGAAAATATTATATGGTTTTATCATTGTTATTACTTTTCTAAATAATTGTTTACTTACTTTCTTACACGAAAACACGTTTTAGGTTGTGTTTTTTATTGAAATAAGAAGAAAACATATTTTTTTGTGATGTTTTCTGTGCTTGTTTAAACAGTTACCTATTAGTCATACATCAATGCAATAAATAAGAAATATATCAAAAACCACATCTTTAACATCATTAAGTTATAATATTTTTTTAAGTGTAAACTATTAAAAATATAATAAAAACAAAAACAATAATTTCTATTATGAACGATAGTTTTATAGCTATTCCTCCAGCCTATTTATCAAAATTCTAATAACTCCATAAACATTTGTCCAAAACTTGATATTAAACATTTTTTTTACTGGATATTCATGATATACCTAATAAATATTTAAAAAACATATTTATTTACTATATATATTTTTGTATTTAGAACATTTTTAACGGGTAGAACGATTTTGTTCCAACGTGTACAGAACACTTTAACCAGAGGCCGAAATTTGGGTTTCCAATTAATAATGTGAGAGGTTTTAATTTCTACCTACTCTGAATTTTCGTTGTATAAGATTCGCTAGTATATTTATAATAAATGATAAAGTTTGTAAAAACACACAATAAGTATTATTTGTTTTTTCCGTCTAACTTACCTTAAATTAGTATCGATATGATATAACATATCAGTAGTAATAATACATTTAAAAATACTTAATAATGGTCTATGTATCCAGATTTATCGTACTATCAAAATATGCGCTAGTATATAAAACACAATTATTTGTAATTGTTATTAGTGTCTTATGTTTTTAGTTTTGTATCGGTATCAACAACATATGTGTAATAGCCCACACAAAAAACTTCTCTAAATCAATACACAATCACATAACAATTTTATAAATTTGGAATTTAGCGTACAATAATGTGTTGAAAAATAATTTTCAATGTTAATCAAAATGCTTTTCAATTAAAAATATGTGGGATTAATTTTTGTACCCTGAAAATATGTTCTAATATAAATCGTATTTAAGCCAATCCCATACCAATCTGGTTGGTTGGCCATCCAAATTAAAAATATAATTATTTTTCATCTGGAATTTTGATAGTTTTACATTTGCAATTACTAGTACATAACAGCGAGCATTATTTGAGAAACATTTAAAGGTAATTTGACACTAAAAATCGGTGTTAAGATCAAATTTGTAAACATAATATAATATAATAACATAATAAAGAAGTATCTATTTTGATATTTAATTATTTTCTTCAACTATATTATATCAAAACGAGGTCTATTTTTGTACAAAAACTTGAAAAACGTGTAACATTGTAATCAATGTCTTATTGTAATCGTAGATACCTGTACAGTTTTCTTTTGAAAATGTTTGTGTTGATGTGTGGACAAATAATCTAAATTACCAAACTCACTAAGAAGCGTACAGATATATACAATTTTTTTTCAGCGTAGATAAGAAACGGATAAGCCATGACGGAGTAATTTTCTCTTGTCCCTTGACCCGAGTTCTTGAAACTACATCAGTAAAACTATGCCGGATGTATTAGTTTTGCACAGTCTGTTTAAACTATGTGTTACTTTGTAGTTTTGGTGTGTTTCGTATTTTGGCTGTCGAATTCGCTTGGATGGGATCGTTTTACAGTATAAAGCGTCCATACGGTAAAGCGGAGCATAAAGATCACCTGATATTATTAAATAGGGCTAGCGTCGCGTTAGTAAATCGCACAAAACATAGTCTCTATTTTTATACCCGAAATACTTGCAACTTGGTTTTTTCCTAATTCAAACTCTGTTCATACCTAGTAAATGTTTTTGAATAATTGTAATTTCACGTTTTCAAAGTTCGATCCCTCTAAGTAAAAACAAAGTCGTCTTTTAAAAAAATTTCGTGTAATACAATATTCTACATTTCAGTAATATCTAAAATGACCTTTATAATTTCGATTTGTTCTTAGTAGCTAATAGTATTTAACTTAAACCACGTATATTAATATTAAAATAATTAACGAGCAATAATATTATTTGTATTATGTATATTTTATGTTTGTGATACATATTATATTGTATTGCAGTATAAACCCCTTTATTATTTGAATGTAGGCAACATAATATACGTTTTTTATTTATTCCTTATCAAAGTACAAAAAAGAGCTGATGTTATCAAATCAAATTATTAATAATGATTATACTAACTTTTGACTATCATATTTTATCATTTTCAAATTAAAAATGTCACATTACTTTTTTGTAACGTTTTTTAATAGTATATTTTAATTAATCTGTATAATATTACTAATGTAAGTTTGGTATGATCTTATTATAGTATAACAAATTATATACTATACTTATACATTTTTTTTTATAACACGTATTTATAGGAAATGGAAGAAGCATTACAATCTTTGTTAGGAGTAGGCGTTACAAATCTAAAGAAATCATACGGAGGAGGATGCATCAATAAAGGATCAGTTTATAAAACCATGGATGGGAAGAAAATGTTTGTAAAATTTAACTCTAAGGAAGGGGTAATTTTATTTGTGTACTGTATACATCTGCTCTACCATAATACAAACGTATTTTCGTACCTAATTAAGTATTAATAACTTTTTTCTTTCATAGGCAGATTTAATGTTCAAAGGTGAATTTGAAGGGCTGAAAGCAATTGGTGATACGGAGACAGTCAGGGTTCCAGTTCCAATTGTGACAGGTTCTACGAAAAATAGTCAACATTTCCTTGCTATGGAATTTTTGAATGATTTGTCGCAAGTTTTTAATACAGACAGCGAGGCATCAAGGACACTTGGTAGTAATTTAGCGGATTTGCATTTGCACAACCTAAAATCTGGAAAACCTATTAACAAATTTGGATTTCACATAAATACGTCTTGTGGATTTATACTTCAAGACAACACATGGACCGATGATTGGATTGTAAAATTAACATTTTATCTGAGTAGTTGTTTATTGCATTTAATAATAAAGTATTCTCTTAGACTTTTATTACGGAACGACGTTTACAACAACAAATTGATTTGCTGTCGAAAACTAAATCAGAATGTCCGTTAAAAAAGGTATAGGTATTAGGTATTAAATAAAAAGTACGAACTAAATATAATATGACCTTTTTTTTTAATTTTAGAAAATTGTTGATGATTATTGGCCTCGATTAAAACTCAAAATACCCAAATTATTTGACGGAATAAAAGTAATGCCGTCACTACTTCATGGGGATTTATGGTCAGGAAATGCTGCATTGGCTACTCCTAAACCAGGTTGGATATTAGTAAACATTTTAAATGATTATGTTTAAAGCTACACTGTTAAAACTTTAATTACAGCTATTTTCGATCCGGCAGCATTTTATGGACATAGCGAATATGACTTAGCTATTACTACCATGTTTGGACCATTTCCAAAAGGGTTTTACAAAGCTTATTATGAAAAAATTCCAAAACCTGAAGGTTATGATGCTCGAGAAAAACTTTACCAACTATTTCATTACTTAAATCATTGGTTGGTGATAGCTATCTACAAATAAATATGTCTTGTTTTTTTTTTATCATACAGTTTGTATAGGAATCATTTTGGAAGTAGTTACAACACTGTAACAGAAAATACTTTTGAGACTTTATTGGATGCCGTTGGATAAAACTCAATTTCTAAGAGAATCTGTAATGGAAACGAAAAAAGCAAATATGAACACCACAAAGATGTATAATGTCTTATTGGTTTTAGATGTATTCAGAGTTGGGATTTTTTTAATCAAATAACAAATAATAACTAATTAATTTGAATAATCTCTTTATTCGACCAAATCTAAGATTATTTATTTAAATAAAAAAAATTTGACGGTTATTCAAATAAAAAAATTATCTAAAAAATTCCCCTACTATGGATGTGTTTAAAAATTATTAATCTGTGTTGAAAATGTTTTTCTTTTTAAATGTATAATGGTGAACAGGTATAAACGAATAGGACTATAAAATCACCTCAGAAAAAATTCAGCCAAAAATAAAATTTAAAAGTCTTACAATATGAAAGTAGCTATTAATAATAATAATCGTATGGTGAATTTGACCAGGAGGGCTATATCTAACTTATGCCAGTTCAATCGCCTGAGGACACATGGAATTTCTGCCATGCTTATCGTAGGTTGATGGTGTGTGTGGGTCGCCGCTCAAAATCCGGGTGGTCACCCATCCAGGTTCAAGCAGCAACGGCCACAGCTTAACCTCAAGTGCCATGCGGCAGCTGAGGTGTCCACTGCGCCACACCGCCCTGATAGTAGCTATTGATAAGAGTGAATACCAATTGAATAAGAGTTATATTTCAAATTATGGGACATCTAAACTGCGAGACTTTTAAATATATATAATTTTTTTTTTATTGAAATTTGTCTGGAACAATTTTCTACCCCCTAACCCAAGGTCCATCTTAAAGAAAACTGTTTAAACACAAACCTAATAATTATGATTATTCGTTAAAAATAAAACTCTATCAAAAAAATTAATTCAGATTTTTATAGTTAGATATTTTTTGTGTGATACAATCTTATTTACATGATTATATTGTGAAGTCTAAATTCAAATGATAATAATATTTAATTTTTGTATTTTAAATACTTATTAAATCATGAATTATCGACATTAACTTTCACAGTTTGTAGTGTGAATTTATTATTCTTAATTAATAGTCTGTATAATATTTTATTAAATAATATTTAATGTTCCTATGTTTTTTTAGTTTCGGTGCAGAACTGAGAAGTTACCTAATCATACAGTTTGTTTAGTTCACAACGTTTTTTTGTTACTATGACCAGAAAAAATTAATATACTTTGTACATAAAAATTTATATTTTCCATTTACGTATATAAAATATGTGCCTTAGTTTTGTATTTACTACTTAGTTTCAATATTTGTATGTTTTGTTATTATGTATCTGAAAGAATTTTTGATGAGTTGTTAATAAACCAGTTAATATTAAAAATTAATTAACAATATTAAAATTCTAGGTTTAAACGTTGGCAAAACTAGTGAGAACGGCTACCTATTCAAACAATAATTAAGAGTTATTATTTATATTTTATATCAACTGATACTATTTTTAAATATTTAACTGATATCTAAATTCTAAAATAATTTACAAATATTTACAAAGACACTTACTTGAAATTTCAAACAATTATAGTTAAAAAAAAAAAAAAAATTGTAATAATACTTATATACAGATGTAGGTATTTATTAATCTAAAGACGTGTTGCTTTCTTAACACATACAACATACGTATAGACAAATAGACCAAAGGCCAGAACAGTTTACCTGTGTAATAGTGGGATCGCCATCATGGGCGTCCGCAGGAAATTTATCAGGGAGGGGCATAATGAAATAACGTTTTTTTGGGCTTACATTTTTAAACTTCTCTACAGATATAATATTAGAAAACAATTTTTTTCCTTCATCAATTTTAAATTTATAGATCTATACTAAAGTCAAAATATTAATGCAATGTTTATTTAAACAATAATAAAAGTTAAAATTTTCAAAATTATATTTGAAGTCCAGGGCCATCCTAGTCCTACACCTCCATAGAGCTCGGTCTTCTGCATCTCGTTCAATCATCCCGCGTTATAACAATATAATAAATATATATTTATTTGATTATTATATTCAAGCTTCGGCAACTTAGGCCATTAATATTTGAGGACAATTTTTTTTAGATAATGTTGTCGCATATTCAATTATTTTTCTGTTAAGTTTAGTATTGGTAAAGCCATAGGTATCTACTATAACTACACGAAAGTCGGGTAGCAAATTCTTACCTCTCTACGACAATTTACAACCACTTAGCAGAACACCATTATTAGTATTAACGATTTACCGTGATGGACTTCGTAGTGCAAAAAACTACTGTATTAAAATAAAAAAAAACCAATACAGTGCGGGTCAAAGCATATGGTGACAGGAATTATTATAGTTCACTTTCAAATAAAATCAATTGGTTTGTCAACGTTTATCGATAGTACTTAATCTTAAGAATAATCAATAGAAGTACAAATTAGGAAATAATTCAACTATTTTTAAAAAATGTATGGAGCGCCGTAGTTTTAAGTTGATAAATATGTAATTTTTTCATTTTGAATGGGAAAGGACGGATGGTCCATTGTATGGTCCATTAAAGTACATTTATTAGGTACGATTTCTGATCTATAGAGTTGTTGCATGATAAAATCGATTAAGTGATTTAGAAGATATTATCTTGTGTCCAGACACAAAAATAAAATTACATAATTTTAGAAACAATACCTTCTTGGTTAAAAGTTTGGATTTTTAGCTTGCTCTCTCTCTTTCTTTACAAAGGCCATTCGGTACACACAAGTCAAAACTATAAATTGCGGTTTTACAATTTAACTATGTCAATAATTGTCCTTGTCAAACGTCACTAAAAACCTACCTACATTTCTCGTTTTGTTCGTGGCCAAAGACGTTGCTGGAATTTTGTGTTCACGACTTTTTTTAGCTATATTGCGCTTCGTTTAGACGAAAAAAGTACCTATTTACTTATAATTTTGTAGCCAAAAAAATAGTGGCGAAATTTTACTGAAATAAACTCATCATTCTGGTGCAAGCACTGAACTGTATACAGTATATAGTTCAGTGGGTGCAAGGCACGCTCGAACCTTAACCGACCTCAGAACTGTTTTTCGGTATACGCAGAAGCCTCGTACAGCCTTCTAGCCTTGTATACAGACTAGCATTTGCGGAGTAAGAACCCATCTGTAATAACCCATTTAATATTTTTATAGTCATTGCATTCAGTACCTGCCCGCGGGTTCGTCCGTATGGATTGTACGACGCCCTATTCGAATATCGAGCGTACCGGCAGCGGCGGCGGCGGCGGCAACAGAGTATAGGTGTAGCCTCCTCCGCCGCACCGTCCTGGCCAAGGTCGCGGCGTCTGCGCCGGTACCGCACACAAACGCCGCCGCGCACGCCACGGTACGCCCGCGTAAACGTGGGGGCCGAGTGGTACGAGGAGGGGGACGCCGAAGTTTCACGATAACGCCAGCGTCATCGGGCGGCTAGTGTACGCTCTCAGTCAGTAGAACACGAGCTCGCGCCGTCGATGGCCCCGAGTTACACGATCGCCGCGACTAGTCCACCACGTTGTTTCTCCTTGTACGCGAGTTTTCTTCGCTAGCTTTGCCCGTTACGGTTGTGTGCACCGCGGTGCGGCTGCTTCTCGCGTTTGCACTTGAAACGTTGTCCACGGCCGAGAAGACGTGGACGCCGCGCGGTGTGCCGGATAATGGACAACCGCCGGACACCCGCGAACCCTCGCCGCACGCCGCTCGTCCAGCTCCAACTATCGTAGCTGTAAGTTCATGTAAGTTTTCTACGAGGGTGTCTTTTTAATTAATTTTACTCTATTTATTCGGTAAGTATATCGATTCGAGTATCAAGTATCAACAGTGACTCAGTTATCGTCCGTGTGATTACTAAATATTTGAACTTAATAACGACGTTTGTCGAAAATGTAAGATAAAATGAGCTTTTTTCCAATGGAAAGACATTACGGATAATAAATTATATATTATTGCACTAGATTTTTGCCCAGAAACAACTTGAGTTTAAAACATGTCAATAAGTTCTGAACAAATCGACTATTATTGTATTTTACGGGTTACTGTTATTATTTATGTAGTTTGGTTGGAAATAAAAGCACGGTCGATCGGCGAATATGTCAACAATAACAAACGGAGCGTAGTAATTTTTTAACAAGTAGGTTATTTAAATAATAGTATTATTAAACAGAGAAAACATTAGCTTCCACCATCAAGTTTTATCTTGGAGTAGGTATTCTGTTTATAAAGTATTCATTATTATAGTAATAAGCACGAATATTTGGCCTTTACGATGATGAGATTAAAATTTTTTTAAAAAAAAAAAAAAGCATTTCCAAATTACTTTTGTCAGGCAGTAGCCAGTAATTTTGAAGATGTGTTCTCAGACCTCAATTGAGGGGTTTGCTCTTGGCTATTTATTAAGGGACAAAATAAAAGCAATTTCTATCTTGTAGACACAGGCCGAGATCTTTGTTTTAGTTGTAAATGATTATTAGTGTTAGCGTGTTGTTAACTACAGTGTTGCATTTCTAAATAATTGTCGCCCATGGAGGCAAAAAAAGCCATCTCTCATTTTACATAAGAAAAAAAAATGTTTACAGTACTAATAAAAACAATAAACAAATAGTTGTATAATAAGTTTACTTACTATACAATATTCTGAAAAAAAAACTTTTAAATTACTATTATTTCAAACCCATAAATTACCTCTTACGTGAAATGCGAATTCAAATATATTACCAAAGTAGTTGTTTGTTTTTTATCTGCTATTAAAAAAGCTGATCAAATAGGTACATATCAATCCAAACTATATGACAATAAAGTTGTACAGCCTAATCTAATCTGGATTTAGACGATATTATTATTATTATTTATATATATTAGACTCTTTTTTTCTTACAGCTTACCCTTTCAATAAAAAAAAAATGTATTTTTTGAGTAAGTAACATGAATGTGTTATAATTACATAATAATGCGACGATGGTTAACAGTGTTAATACCACCAGTGCCTCGTGAATTTTAACCAGCGTTATCTATTGTCAAAAATATTCTACTGCATATAGGTAATAGAATAATATTATACAACTAAAAAAATACTATAATGCTATTCTAGGTTGAAAACATTCGAATTGGCTAATCCAGTTTACAGCTTGAAAAACGAGTTTTTGTACTAGTGTCGAAAATGAACTAGATACATCTCGTTCGTTTTTTCTCTTTATATCTTCTACATTTCCAATTTTGAACGACTAGGAGTGGCTGAGTGGGTAAGGCGGCAGTGTGTTTGCGCTCACTGCCGCCGGTCCGACACTTGGTCACGGGCGGTTAGATTAGGTTAGGTTCGATCTCACGATGGCAGCGTTGAGCCATAAAGGTCCGTTAAGCTTGATGGTGATGATATAACGTTTCCAATTTTATGTAATATGCTATCGTTAGTATAGTAAGTAAGTATAAGTTTAAGTTGCATGTCATATACTGTACGAATTAATCAATGTTTTGTATATGTTTACACTTTAATTTTATGTATTATTGAACTTAGGGGAGAACTGTATCCATGCAAAATAGACAATGCTGTATAAACAAGACAATATTAACAATTAATCGAAAATGTCTGAGTTTGTAATTGTTTCTTGTCAACGAGTTCCGCGTTTCAATGAAAAATAAACATTACCGAGTTGAACGTTACTTGGATTTTAATGAAACCCTTTGAGGCGAATGTGAATTCGACACGATTTTAAGTAATCAGTCTGGACGGATTTTTATAGCTAATCAGAATTATCATAGAAAATGACACGGAGCAAGTATAATAGATATCGTTCCGTCGCAATTATAGTTGTAGAATGTATGTTTTTGTCTTTAAAAAAAGAATATAAATATACATTTGTGTATAACATTGGACATAAGTCATTACCCATTAATATGTTACTGGTGTGATGCCAATCGCTTTGATCTGGTCAATAACGATCCGAACAACTTGTCTTGAGTACAGATAGATTGTTGTGATTTGTGAATTATTATCGTCAAAAAACCATATTACATATTATTTTTATGTATAAACGATATTGTGATAGGATCGTGGGTGTTTATTTAAATTGATT